AAGGGAGCATACTAATGTTTTGCATGCTTCTTCGGTAATAAATGGACTATCGTTACCAGATGAAGCAATATAAATGTTCGAGTCTTTAACTACAGATATCCCTCGCGGAGAACGAACTGATTGATCTTTGTATTCCCACATCTTCTCTCCAGCCAACGAGCAGCATGTTACTGTATGGTGGGAGTTATTTGTATAAACTATCTTGTCTTTAGATGTTGCTATATAACTCCACAGGGACAAGGTGTTGTCTTTAACCAAATAAGAACAATTGTCTGACATATTTACTTTCTGAATACCTCTGCCACAATCACAGTACAGTAAATAGACATCTGTGTAACATAAACAGTAGCAAATACCGGCCGTTTTGATTGTGCATTCAACTGTTTTAGTTGAAACGTTTATGATTTGTATTTATTTTGGATTAATAAAAGAAACAGCGACTGTCTTGTCATCGATACATGTACCGTCAACTGGGTATGAAGTTGACAGAAGTATGTCACTCTTAAAGGTTCCATCTTCGTTTAAAATCAAAAGACGACAATCGCCGCGCGCGGTCTATTAGAATGAAGTCCCCCGTAGAAGAAATGGAACATCCGGTGATATCAGACAAAATGAATTTACTTTGTAATGTCATTGTTATATCATTGATAGTTGAAGGTGGTACATGCTGCAAAGACCTTGTCTGTGCTTGTATTTCTTTCCCTGTCTTCAGAACCACCATTGCAGAACTTGATTCGATGGATATTGAACCTAGTGAAGTAAAAGTTGATAATACTTCGGTTATCTTGCCAATGTCCTCAATTTTACAGTTTATATCTATCTTTCGCAATCTTCCATCGTCGAATAAAGACTGCATAAATATTTCATATTTTTGAATTTCTGTGTCAATCATTTTACTCCCTAGAAATGCTTGAAGATCTGAAGCATAATCTTTGAAGGCTGAAATATTAATTACCGTTGAATTAACTTTTTCTGTATTTTCAGCAAGTTTTCCTAGCAAGTCCTCAATTTATGATTTAACTTTATTTTCGGCATTTTCGGCATCAAATAGATCCTGAAGTATTCGCGTTCTAGAGTGTCAAGGTGTCCGTTAATTTTATTACGGACCTGCTTTATTTCATCGTGAAATTTCTGCCTTTGCTTCTTGATTTCCACAAGATTTTGTTTCCGATCTTTAACAACTCTCTTGATATTCATTGTGATATCTTTCAGATTCTGATCAAGACTTTCCAATAAGACTGAAGTCTTTGCTGTTTTTATGACATTCTCCAGCGATAATATCCCAAGACAGGTAGCATGGTTGGACTGAATACACAAAGAACAACAGAGACTTTCATGTTTGGGACAATAATTCTGGAATTTTCTGTCATGCTGTGAACAGTGTTGTGATATATTGTCTATCGACGTAGGTAATTGTTTATAATTGGCGACAGGTATAACTTTATGGGCACGTGTGGCTTTTAATGCATTGTGATACTTCAGACATTGGGAACATAATCCTTCGTCACATTCAGAACACCAGAAGTCCGCCTTTGTTGTCCTGTGTTGAGACTCACAAACATCACATATTACTGTTCTGGATGATGTCATAATTTGTTTTCACTCTGGAAAATTAAAAATTAAACCGTAAGCCTAATTGTGTCACTATTAAAAAAAGTATAGCTCGTCATATATTATTAATTGGGCTGTTGTTGAAAATGGGTGTTTAAGTAAAATGCAAAATAATGAACTAAATTAAATTACATTTTAGCGAGGCTCATAATGCCCTAAAAAAATCGGTAATCATGGAATTAATATAACTGTTATGAGACGTATGTCATGTCTAACGGTCTGTATTTTTGGAATTAGTTTAAATGGTTGGTCATGCGTATACGGCTCTCACTAGATTAAAAACAATAGGCCGTCACAGCAATATCATGGTTAGATTTACTCTTTTCTGTAAATAGTGCATCGAGTTAAAAAGGTTAACCCCTTACAAAGACATTGCTTTTTGTCCATAAGAATATCACAAAATTTTTTTCCCCAGGTAAAACATTTTTTTAAACTTTTATAATCTCTCGACACAGTTTTCAATAAACTTAAACATTAGATGTGGTATGAATGGAAATCAGACAACACAGATCAGGATGTGAACAATCATAGGTCATATCACGACCTTAAAGAAAAAGGAAAAGCCATACCATATAGTAAGCTATACAAGGATTCAGTATTCAAGACTGACTTTTACAATAAGATTTAAACAACATGCAAATATGTACATTTGAACATTTGAAGCAACGATGTGCAATGAAGCCGTCACTTTTACAACCCCCAAACAGCCAAGAGTTTATATTCTTCTACGACACCAAGACAAACTATAGGCTTTTAAGAAGCCTGAGTAATTCACCTAGGTCTATGTGTATCTTCAACAATAGACACTCTCTAACATTGTGGACTAATATATAATTCATGACAAAAATCTCATTTTTGTTAGATTTTGTATTGCTTATAATTTTTTCTGTTTACAGTTCCACTCTATATTCTTTAGTTTTTGCCCAAAACACACAAAAAAGGTAAATAATCGGCATTTGAGGATAGTCACTCCTATAAAGAGTCTAATAATGATTTAGGCAAAATTTGACTGATTTTTAGATCTTGTCTTGATTATTATTTTTGCTTTAAAAGTGTCAATCTATCTTACATAGTTTTCAAGATAATAGGTAAACAAACTAAAAATCGTCATTTAAGAGCAATAACTGCAATAAAGAGTCGTCATACGATTTCGGCCATTTAACTTATTTGTATATCTTGTCTTGCTGATTTCTTTTGCTTATTTAAGTTTCTATCTATCTATTATAGTTTTAAAGATATTAGGCATAAATGCAAATCATGCTAAAAATCGTCATTAAAGGGCAATAACTTCAATTAGGAGTCGTAAGACGACTTCGATATGTTGATTTATTTGTAGATCTTGCCATGCTGACCATTTTTGTCAATAGAAATTTGTCTCAATCTATGATAAGTTTATAAATAATAGACAAAAAATAAAAAAAACAAAAACAAATGGTAAAATTCGTCATTTAAGGGCAATAACTCCCATAAGAAGTCGTCTGACAGTTTTGATGTGAATAGACAGTGGGTAGATCTCAACATTCTGAACAATTTTGAATCCGTCAGATTTTCTCTATTGATAGCGGTTTTCAAAATAATAGACAAAACTTGCATTTTGACCTTATGTTCTATTTTTAGCCATATAGGCTATGTTGGTCGGCATGCGGGGTCATCGGAAACATTTTTGAAACAAGATACCCCAATGATGAGTTTAACCTGGCGAGTCTAGCTGAAAAATGTTTGTCCGTTATTGAAAGGTTTAGCAACAGTTTACCGCAACTCAACTGAGTCCGTTAAGATAATGTTTTTCGAGTTTGTCTTCAAAGAGAGTCCATCAAGCAGCTGATAAATATTGCGAGATTCGATCTGTTAAAAGTAAATTTTATAAAACCTAACAAAATATCAAACAAAACTGTCAAAAAAATAAAACCACACACACACAAGTTATTATGAATGCAAAATGTCTGTCAAAATGATACATTAGCTGAAAGATGATGTTCCACAATATAAAAAAAAAGCTGTAAAATGAAAAGGCGTGACACTATTTCCTGAAGAAAAAAAACCAACAAAAAAACCAAGCCTTTAAAATAAGGCAAACCATGTCTAACGAATTGAAACTAAAAATATTAGCATATAATGAATTGCAAGGATTAAGCAGATCCTTTAATGTATCGCTATACAAAACAAAATAATTTATTATCTTAAATATACGACGAACACTGTCTGTTAAAGAGTAGTTATCGATTTTTATGTCCTTTAAAGATACAATATTATCAGAAGTCCATTACTAGTTTTGTTTTTATGGGATGTTATGAGTAGTTTCCTACAACTTTAGTTTATTTTTTCAAATTAAGGTACATTGACGAAAGATTATAAGAAACTGGAAATCGGATGACTTGAAACTTCAGTGGTAGCTTTGTATTCGTAGATGTGCCTTATAATGATCCATAATTGCTAAACAATGTATAATAACATTTGACCTTCCAAGATATTTTTTGATAATCTAAAATCATCGGACCCCTACGATTCGCTTAACGGGTTCAAATTTCAAGCTGAACTGACAAGAGTCATCGTAAACCATCGCTACTTCTTGTATTAGATAGCTAGACAAAAGTATTATTAAATTTAAAAAGAAAGACCGGAATAGGAAGGAAGGGAGCGAGAAACAGCTAAATTGTTATTGTTAAATATGCTCTTTGTTTTGATTAAACGTTAGAATTTCAGAATGTTTGTTTCGTGCTAAAGTATTCTGATTCAATTGCCCAAATGCACCATATTAGATAGTGAATCTAAACCTGACTAAACGTTGCATTCAACTTGTAGGTTCTGACAACACTTAGATTTCTTGCTAAAGGAGATAACCAGTTGGAGGTGGAGGATATTCATGGGATAAACGTGGGTCTGGATGTGGGTCCTTCATTTCTCTTTTCTTTATATTTTTACCCATTATTCTCTATTCTGTAAACCCCATCTACACCTTCATAAACCATAGCACCCTTTGATTTTCCCCGAGATCAAGAACTGACAGCAGTTAAAGAAGGGTTTTATAGCATTGCTTCCTTCCCAATGTTATTGGGACTATAGATGGAACCTTAATACCCATCCATGGCCTTTCTGTAGGGGAAGAGCCAAACTTTTTGTAAAAAAGGTGACCGTGCAATAAATGTGAAGGCAGTTGTTGATCACATGGTGAGGTAATTTATATAGTCAGTCATATAAATTAGAATATATATGAAAGGCACTGACTATTTGACACTTTTTAGAACTATTTTTCTGTACCTGTGGAAACCTGATTAGATCTACAAATCACATCCTATCTATCTTTTATGGAAATGTTAATAAAGGTCGTACATTCAAACAGACTCCTTTGGGACTTATCAATTATTTGAATAAAATTATACGCACTATACTTTATGTGCCTGATCCAATCCAGGAATCTGTAGTCCAGTGGTTGTCATTGTTCTTATGTTTTTATTGTAACTGGTTTTACGTTTTCAGGTGGAAAAGGTGGATAAGTGTTTTTTTTGAAAAAGAAAGAAGGGGGAGAGGTTTTTCAAATCTCCAACTTTTGTTCCCAAAATAAAGCGGACTTTTCTCCGTATCTGAAACTGAAGTATTTAATAATGTCTATTCATATTTCATAATAATTTTGAATAATAGTTCTGCTATGGCCTCAATTGGCAGTGGAAACTGGTGAAACACATTTTCTACGAATACTTCTATGAAACACTCAATCTTAGTCTTATTATTATCCATTTATTTTTGGTCTTTTAGTGGTAGCAATATGTTTCTATTTAAAAAAAAAAATAAACAACACATAAAACAATTCCAGATTCACAAACGTTGTTGTGAGGTGGCCTGGAGGAACACATGATGCTTTCATTCTCCAGCAGTTGGCCTTGTATCGTTACATGGAAACACATTTAAATGCTAGATAGCTGATAGGAGATTCCGGATACCCGTTGAAAGTCTGGCTGATAACCCACTAACAAACCCTTCCAACCCACAGAAGCAAAGATTTAATGAATCACACTGTAAAACAAGACATATTGTAGAATGAGCCTTTGGTGTGCTCAAACAGAAATTAAGATAAAAAATGGTAACAAGTATACAAGACAATAACTACATGTAACTCTTTAATTTGAAAGTTTATTTGATATTGGGCTCTCTACTTACAAGTTTATTTTACATCATTAACAACTGGAAGTAAAACATGAATACTGTATTAAGGCCATTAAGTGATTCTCATTTCTCGTTTTTTATACAGATTAGACCGTTGGTTTTCCTGTTTGAATGGTTTTACACTAGTCATTTTTGGGGCCCTTCATAACTTGCTGTTCGGTGTGAGTCAAGGCTCCGTGTTGAAGGCCGTACTTTAACCTATAATGGTTTACTTTTACAAACTGTGACTTGGGTGGATAGTTATCTCATTGGCACTCATACCACATCTTCTTATATCTACTAATTGATATTGTCAAATCATATTTACAGAATACATAACAGTTATATACATGTTTATAGTTCTTATTAAAAATTTTACAGAGTAAAAAATGAAAACCATACGTTATAAATTTCATCCGTCCGAAGCGCTTTGTTCTTCATCAAGGACGCTCAAAGCCGAATTTTTGAAGATGTATAAGAACCGCCACAGTAGAAAGACCTTTTAACCGAAAAGAACCTAAAAAAAATAGCATAATCCATCTAAGGTCAACTTTGCCCGAGGAAATTCAAACCTTATAAACGGACAATTTTAGAAAGGATTGTTATAAATTACGTCAGTAGCGTAGTAATAACTACTGAGCTGATAATAACCTCGGGGACTGATAGTCAACCAGCAGGGGTATCGAATCAGACATTGAATTAAAATATCAGTACATGTAGATTCATATCAAGTAACAATATTTTAACACAAAATATCTTTAAAGTGACTTTATAACACCTTTCAAATATGTGTTTAATAAAATCTGTGAACTAACATTTTATAAGTGTCTACATAAAGCAGGAGGAGCACTTTCTTACAAGCCTGAGAGATGTTGAAATATAATTGAAGCCTGTTTCAGATTACTCAATTTGGCAATGAAGAAGAATATTCCATTGAACAGAGACCTATCCCATCCAATCCTTCATAATAATCATATCAATCAACAAAACAGTACAGCACAGGCACTTAGAAATCAATTAATTCAGAGATTTTAAGCATTCAGATATATCTATATGATATTTTTCCGACGAGAGGTTAATTGCTCTGCAAAGGTGCTGAAGGGATGTATGTATTGTAATGTATTATATGTGACATTTCAGCGGCTAATAAAAACATATCAAAAATGATCTATGGAAGAAGAAACATCTTATTTTATCAAGACTGTAGGGTCTTACAACAGGTAGCTTTCTACAATCAATACAGATAATAATGTATCTCAAAATAATATTAAGGAGATAACAATATTGTATTTGAAGATTTGCCACATCGACTGACGATTTGATGGTCGCAAATTGAGTAAATGTCGACGCGAAATTTAAAGCGGAGCCATCAAATATCCATTCTAATGTTTCTGAATGCCGAATTACGATTAATCTAAACATTTCAAAATCATGAAGCTAATGTTTGTGTGTGCGGATTGTTTTGCAAAAGGATGTTTATTTCCCTGTAAAAAAATATGTTCGTGAAATTTACATTTCATTTCAATCATACGGTAAAAAACTGCAAATTTCTGACGGTAATTGGTACTACACCAGTACTGTATATGTTTTAATGTTTCTTTGCAGTGTTTGTATTTGTTCATGTGAAAACAGATTCGTATTAAATAAATCAGATACATTAATGTGGTATATAATGTCCGTCCTTTATAGACAACGCGTTTTATTTGGTGTCCGACTGAAAGGTAAACGTCACGGTGTCCATCTTAAATACTGGCAGCTAAAATATATTCAAAAAATGATTTATAAAGACCATACATGCAGGACTTATGTTTCTTGCATAATTTGAAGAACATAACACCAATAGTGTGCAATCACAGTCAGTTTTTGTGGTGAAGATTAACCAATAGAAGGCAGTCATTTAGGCAATGTTCACACTAACTTTATGACCACACATGTAAACGGCAAATAATCAAGCATAATTTGAATATTATATCTGAATCTTTGCAATTCACCACTATTTACCTTGAGGTATTGCCTTGTCCACTCATGAATTTTGTAAAATAATAATGTAGAATTTCTTAGCAGGTAGCACGGTAGTATTTGCATTCCAGTATTTAGGTTGCTCTTTTGTGTACCCTACCTAAGTCAATGTATCTGAACAGTGTGATTGGACAAAAAATACCGTATCAACTGAACATACTTTCCCAAACTGAGGGATGAATCAGGTGTAGAAAAATATGAAATAATTTTACATACAGATAAAAATGAATTTTTGAGATTTTTTTTTAAATTTTGTATTCACTGCACGATAAAAGACCTAAAAGCACTAGTGGCCTTAGATTTTTAAAAATAGCAAAAAAAGTAAACGGTCATGATACACATTCAAATTCATTTCTGAATAGTAAAATGAAAGTACTTCAGTTAACTGTGTATGTAGAATTTTTGCTGTGTTAGAAAGTGGTGAAAATTTAAAAAAGGCTATCATTATCCTTTATGGGCCAGGACATACTACCGTGCCACCAGCATCTCTAATCATACAAACTGATGTACAGTAGTTGTCGTCTGTTTATGTAGTTCATACGTGATTTGCGTTTCTCGTTTTTTTTTTTAATATATAGATTCACGGTGTATAATCGGAACGCTTCAATTCAGAATAACGGCTTGATAACGCTACGATTCGGATCGGAGAACGGTACTTTACAGATTAAAATGGAAAATGTGACCGGGGTGCTCTACTTATGATGGATAGTGCAAAGAATGAGAGGTAGCTATGCACTTAATTTGGGTATCACTCTATACCTTAGGATTTGGAAATATTCATGTTTACTTGAAAAAAAACGGAGATTACCCCGAAAAAGTGCATACAATTAACATACGGTGATTCAGCATTTTAAAAATGGTTCCGTTTTGGGAAATTCTCAACTTAAATGTATACTATACAATAATAAATGCCATCAAAAAAACGTTTGAAGCCTAACTTCTTTTTTTGTATCTGAGAATATGCCGTCAAAACAAAGAAAAATGTGCACATAAAAAAATCACGAAAACGCTTCTGTTCAGATTCAACATTTGCTGCATATTATTTGGAAACACTGCTATTAAGATTTATAGAGTACGCTTCTGTTCAGATTACAATGGGAATATCATTTACAAAAATTTGACTGCAAATAAATGTGTACGTATAGGGCAAGACGTGTAGCTTGTATATATTTGCCATGTTGTTTCATGTAATTTGTGTAATTCATGGGTGCAATTTTCTCTTTGGAAAAGTCGCCATCAAAATCAATAATCGAATCGAATCGAATGTAATTTGTTTATTATTTGCAGGGTGAATCGAAAGAGGAAAAGAAGCAGTCTATGGCTCCATAAACCGAAACAAAATCGAACAAATGCAAATGCAGGCACACCAATAAATATTAAGTCACTAACAAGTATTCGTAAAAAACATCAAAATGGTCCTCCGAAAGCACAAAAAGGGCCGAAGGTGAAGAGAAGGAAATTGTTTACCCCATCAAAAGATGAAGACATTACGAAAGAAGTACAAACACTGTTGCCAAGTATTCTCAATAAGATGAAAGACAATGGACTTCGTGCGGATTTCTGCGTTTTACTGAAGACAATAAGCAACGGAAAATTCCCGCTCCAAAACATAGCGTTTTTATTGGTGTTGGATGTGGCAAGATGGTACTCACTGCAAAATACGACACAAATGAGTTACCCAGTACATACTATGAAATTTTGGCGAGTTTTATACAGAATGTTTCACGGTAAAATTTTAAGATTTATGTCTGGAGAAAAGTCAATTGGACAAATAACAGACGGATCAACATCCAAGGGAATCTACGATCCAGCATCATCATCTATCAACTTTGCAGTACCAAGTGTCAATCGTATAAATGAATTTGAATCACCAAATGCAAGCATTCCTCGTGAAATTCTTCCTGGGGTTATACATTCATCCATTGGATTCCTACCAAAAAACAAGTCATTTGTTCTATCAGTTGACGGAAAAAAATTGGCAACTGGGCTAACGGATGAACGAGGAGATCAAGATTTGTTTCAACACGAGGATGGTGAGTCTTTAAAGTTGCTACCGGATCGCATTGATGAGGAAATTACAAACATAGAAACAACCAAGACTTCATGGAGTAGCATGGAACATACAGAACAAGCTTCTAGATTAATGCAAACTATAAAGATAGTATCACATCGAATTAAAGATCTTCGCGCTTTGTTTCAAAAGCAGAAGTTTGCATTAAATAAGTTCGTCAAGGATGCTGGGGATGATTGGAGAAATTCCAAGTATGTTTTTCCATAA